TTGCCATGAAGGTATCAACATTTCTCAGCATTATCCAAACTCAAAACTTATCAGACATCTAAAGAATTAACTGGAAAGCAGAAAGAGTTAATATAATAGTACAGTACAAAGTCTATAATCTGAACGTCCATTATCCGGAATGATCTATAATCCGAACCTCAAGGCCACAAACTTTTTTTTTTTTTTTTGTATGCTTTATGCATACGCACATTGAAAGAAATGTTTAATAAAGTAAACAAATAAATATTTTCTCTTTGGAGTGGAGAGAATGCGTCCGTAATTAAATAAAATAAATTCATTGCGCATGCGTAGGAGCACAAGGCGCCGAAGAAAACCCAAGTTTCACAAAGTAGAAGAAGAAGAAGAAATATTAAGTCTCCCCCCCCAAAAAAAGTTTTATACCCTTTAGATCATAATTGCTCTTTATTTCATAAATTACGGTTTCATATTTTTAATTGTATAATCTGCATGTCATCTTACCAGATTTAAATTGATGATCTATAATCTGGAAAAAACCCTAATCCGGAATCGCCGAAGTCCCGACGAGTCCGGATTATGGACTTTGTACTGTATTTCTTAAAAAACTAAACTGAAAATAATTATGATGAAGAGATGAAAGAAAATAGCCTGGTACTACACAAAAACATTTCTTGAATTAATATCAAAATGTATGTGAAATATAATTTAATTAAAGAGCTTTGAGTTAAATATTAAATGTTCTGTTGTTTGCAAATTTTGTTAAATATCAGTTGTGTATTTTATGTATCCAAACACTTATTTTTCATATGCTATCTTTGAAATTTCATTTATGAATCTTTCTGATATTTGAAAATAAACTCATCCTCGTTCTTATCAGTTTATCAAACAAATGAATTCTTCGAAACAAGTGAATTCTTTCCTGTCCTCCTAATTGCAATGCATATGCATTATAAGTATTTGAAAGATAAACAATTTTTAGTCCAACCAAATTATTAGGCAGTGGATACCTGTTTATGTTAAAAATTCTACAAAGCATTTGTATAGCGAGGTTATGAAAGTAACGTATATGATAGCGATGAAGACGTTGAAAAAACGATAATGGTATGTTTTAATAAAGTTAAAATGGACATAAGAGATTCAGATAGAATTTCAGAGGAAGAATACGTTGAATCTGAACAAGGTAATGAACCAACCTTATCAGAAAATATTAAAAATCAAGGAGTTTTAGATAAAATAAATATATGTATGAAAATAGCACTATAGAGGGTATAAAAACAGTAGTTTTAAAAGGAAGAGTTTGAGAGCTAGAAGAAAAAGAATTATTATTTTTTTGTGTGGCAGCTATTAAATCCTACACCACACCCAGAAGGAAAATTTAAGGAAAGGAAAAGTCTATATTTAAGAAATCATTAAAATTCAAACCCATACAAGATGATATGGAATGGCAGCTACAGAATCTTTTATAATCTCATGAAATGTATTTTATAGTAACTTCTAATCTCAATAAACCAGAGAATTAGTATCAATTTATGATGATTTAGTACTTCAAACATATAAAATGGGTTGAAGCCTATACTGTAGCCTACACGCCTGTGTTTTCAACTTAAATGTAACAACTGTATGTGAAACAGAGATTTAGAATGTGCTGCAGTTAAAATATTCAGTTATTTTTATATTTTTGTTTTAGAAATGATTTATTGATCTATCTGTTTCTAGTTTAAATAATAATAAATGATCTATATAATCATTTATTGATCTATCTACTTCTAGTTTAAATAATATTAAAAAGTTTAAATAATAGTAACTGCTTCAAAAAGTATTGTACTGTTTTGTATTTAGCAATGTTCATTCAATTTTATGTTTATTGTATTTACGTTGTTTTTTGTTGAAATGCTTGAAAATTTGCATTTCTTTATTGTGTCAGTGAAAAAGAATACATGCTTAAGTTTAATTTGTAGTCAGCTGTGAAAAAATCCTAGCAAAACTTCTCTTTTTAGATGTTTTCAAGGAAAAGTCTCACAGACTACACATTAACCTCTGTGCAATGAAAATTCACAATTGGTTAAAAGTTAATGAAGTTTTTTCCAGTGCTTTCTAGACAAATTATATTTTAAAATTTTTTGAATTTTAAGAAAAATACTTTTAGATTTTTGCAACATGCAGTTTTGGGGAAATAACTAATAATGCATATGAATAAAATATGAATCGGCTCTAATTTAGATGTTTTTCGCACATAAAAAGCAAATATTGATGAAAATCCAAAGTAAGCAACATAAATAAAATTGGTAAGCCAGTTTAAATTTTAAAAAAATCAGTATGGTATACTTATGGCATTATATTTCGCTTGCTAGTAAACACTTGGATAGCAGGGCAAATCTGATAGATAAAAAAACATAATTGAGATATACAAATAATTCACTTCCCATTCAGAATGCTTACGATGTGAAGCAAGATGATAAAAGTAAAGTTTTAGTGCACAGCTTTCAAAGAATTATACAATGTTTATGGCAACAACTATCTAGACGATGATGATTCAGGTGAACAAAGTTCACAAAGCAGTCACCCACGCATCAAAATCAGAAGATCGCTAATGTGTTTATTGTCAAAATGGCATAGATAACATCAATTCGAAATGAAAATATGACATAAATAGCATATTCGAGAAATAAATTCGAGAAGCAAAAATGTAAACATACAAGTATTACAACTGAACTTAACTTTACATATGACAAAATATCCACAAAACAACTTATCCGCACATCATAACCATTTTAATTTTCATTTCAAATCAGCCGTTCAGCATTTTGGCAAGGAAAAATATGAGGAACTCAGTTTGCTCGGATTGAATGTGCAATGCTGCGAAAGAATATGGTTCTGCGGAACTTTTTACATTATTCTGTAATAAACATTACTTATTTCATAATTTTTTTCCTTTTTCTCATTAATTAATTGATGGGGTAAAAGTTAAATCATAATGACTTCATTGAAATGTGAAACTTTGCATGTATGTGACGACCACCTTCTGTGCAGTATTTCTGAGAATGTAAACAAATTTTGGAACCTGAGAGTAGTTGTAATTATATGTATAAAACATCACCTCTCAAACGACCATTTTTGAAAGTGGCCAATATTTAAGAATGTAAATAAATACTGATATTAAGTATTATTTCTCTAAGACGACCATCTCTATAGAAGACTAAAACTTCTGGAATCGTGGATAGTCATCTGAGAGAATTCTTTGTACTGTGAACTTATCGCACAACTGTTATTCAATAAAAATAGTGTACATGATTAAAAAGCATTCTCCGTCCTGTAATTTTAAAAAAAGTCTATTTTTCTAATTTTGCGTATACTTATAGCAACATCTGCAATCTGCAAGTAATTATATAAGTAGTTTAAACAATTTTTCATAAAAAATATATGTTATTTAGAATTTAATAAATATTTTAGAAACTGCTAATCCATTGAAAATATCTTTCCCATGCCTAAATAAATTTTTAAAAATGCTAGAAAAAATAGCAATTAAAATTAATAACGAAATAACAAGAATAACCTGGATATCAATATTTTAATGAAACAACTCTTAGCAAAATACATATGAAAGTTAAATAATATGCATGCTGTCAGATGTGCAAAAAACTAAAGTTGGTAAATTTGAGAACAAATAATGTTCTCAGAATGTTTTACAATGAAAGTCCTCTGGAAAAGGCAGTGCGAATATCCTCAGGATGTGAAATTGGTGAAGTCTTGAGGATATCAGAGAATCAACATCTTCAAGACATTCTCACATAGCGACTTAAACAGGACATCCTCAGGATTAAATTACGATGTCATCGGGACATCAGAGAATCAACATACTCAGGATATCCTAAGTATGTCTTGGGATATTGCGACTTAAATAGAACATTCTGAGGATGTTTTGTGCTATGGGGGTAAGAACACACAAAAAAAAAATGAAATAGAAATGTTCTATGTAGTAGTATATGAAAGCTATTTAATTTAAAAAAGAATCCGTTCAAAATTATTTTTGATATTGATATGTTATTTTCAGAAATTATTCATTTCATTTATTATAAACATATGTTTTTATAAAACTTTTTAAAAATTGTTTGAAACTTGAAGCATTAATATTCTAGATGGATAAATAGTAATGTCCAGGTTTCATAATTATTCATTTGAATTATTTTTTATTTATTTATTAGTCCAAAGGGATTTGAATCCCGAAGGACTATTAGTTTCGTTTTGGCATTTTGCGTCGGACGGATAAATGTCGGTTCACTTTTCAAACTGTTGCCATAAAATGTTAGAGTCCTGCATTATATTTGAAGAAATTAAATAATGAAAATCTGCATAAATGTATGTATATTTCTCACATTGTCATAAAATAACGGTACATAGAGTCATCGAATTTTGAATAACGTAATCCTCCAACGAATATGAGCATGTGGAAGACCAAATTTGAAATTTGAAATTTGTTTTATGATCGATTTCCTACTTTTTAAAACTTTGACGAATTTTTGATTAACAAACTCAAGGATTTCAAAGCGAGCAATGGCAACGTTGTGCAGAAAAGACATTTTTATCTCCAGCGTGTGAGTCTCTGTATCGGAAATTCTAAAGATATGCTCGTTTTAAAACTATTTTGCGATATTGCTGTTGCACTGGATCTTATGGTTTAAGTGCGAGGAACATGATATTTAATAAAGAAAGGTAACACACAAAATGTTAAAAAACGCCCCTTTGGACGTAATTTAAAATCTGAAACATTTCAGATTTACTTATTTATTTATTTTTGTATCTTGTATTATTTTTTAAGTTTACATAATCAGAACTCATCATATAATGACTAATTTTACCTTAAGTGTTGTTGATTTTAAATTTGATTTATAATAGTTACGTTGATTTAAGAATGGCCATATGGTTTTTTAATTTTATCAAATGTTTAAGCATTTTATATAAATAAACAAAAGTTGTATATTTTTAAAATACAGGTTTGTATTTTTATGTTCTTTCTCTTAAAGGTGCTTAGCCATGAATTCTGCTCAGTCTTACTTGAACATGGGAGAAATGCCTGCAACCAAGTGTGTATTAAAGAGTAAACCAAGTATTTTTGTGATACGTCTTCATTTGGTTTCTATGTTTGGATTCGGTTTTATGATGTCTTCATGGTTTTATACTCGAAGGTCACTTGAATCATGGAAACGTTTCATTTATCGGTAATATTTCTGTTTTGTTACCATTTGCTGATTGTGCATAAAATTTATATTTTTTTCGACTTGTTTAATGTAACAGCCATATTCAAATACTTTAAATGTTCCTAAATCCAAGCAAATATTGTTCATGCATTTATTGTTTCATGCACATTTTATTACAAAACGTTTATATAATACTATATATAATTCATTTATAACAGTTTATAATGTTGAGTAAATTTGCATTTTACTCATACCATTGCTCATATTTTATTTATTATAAACATGCAAGCTAATTGGTGAAATAAAGTGTTAACTCTTTCAACCCGACATTTACACGATTAAAATTTAACAATGAAGAGTAGTTTAATTTGATGTTGACATTCTAAAAATAAGTGTAATATGAATTTAAAGTTTTTAACTTTTCCCGTTTCCCGGAATTCTTCTGGGACAACATGTCCCAATCATATTGTCAACTGAAACTATTTGTCCCAATAGTCTAGGTTATTACCCTTTCTCAGAAAAAAAAAAAACTAAAATTTATGATAATATATAATGTGAATATTACAAAACGTAAGCTATGTCGCATGCACTAGTACTATCACAATGATGATATTTGGCAATGCAGCATTTTTTCTGATTTATGATTTTTCAAAATTTGAAAATGATGTCTCCCAAATCAGCAAATTCTTGATTCTGCAAAAGTATAAAGTAATAAATGAATAGATACTCTTAATTTGCATTATCTAACCATTAATAAATTTCACTAATTTGCTATATTTACAGCTTTTAGTTACTTGTTTGCTTTTAGATATATATGCAACACTTTATGAAAAGAGATGTATAAGGCAAAAATAATTCCAAACCATTCTACTTTCTTAGAAATACAAAATATTAAAAACTTAGTTTCTAAATTGATGTATGTAGACAATTAAATTTTGTAAAACCAGCTTAGTGTAGCAGTTAAACATTTACAATAGTTATTTCACAGTTTATCAAAATTCCAAAACGCTGCCAAATTTTTAGCTGAAAATTTGCATTTTGCAGTCCCGAAATTTAATATTCAGCAAGTTTTTTCATTATCTACAGTTGGTAAATGTTTAATGCATTTTGTTAATGCAATATTACTGTTTTTGAATTTGTCAAATCAGCTGTATTGTGTTTTTCAAATGCAGCTGAAAATCAAGGCTCATAGACCATTAAAAAAGAATGATGTAATTGAAAGGTCTTGAATTTTTTCCTGTAAAATATTTTGAAGACTGGATATAAATAATCATTTTAAAATAATAAATATCCTATCATATAATAAGTAAATAAAACTTTAGCATTAAAAAATATTGAATGTTTGTACAATTTTATCTTTTTGTTTGAACACTATGGCTAATGTAAATTGAAATTATTCTAATGATAATCATTAATGCTTAAATTATTAATTTTTCAACATGGTCTGAGCACTTTTTTGAAAATAGGCCAATGCCCCATGTTGTGATTTTTCAAAGTAAACTAATAAAGAGATGCCAGAGCAGAGCAAAATAGTATGGTACAAAAATCTCGGAATTTTTAGCTTTTGATTCCTAAGTACAGATGATGCACAATAAAGCTCTGAAAATATTTGCATTAAATATGCTTTATATAATTGCACCTTTTCTATTTTAAGTTTTTCTGAATTATTTCTTTACAAATTCGTTAATAAAAAAATGAATAAAAATTTATATGAATGCACCCTTTTTAAGTGGCACCTGCCTGGGATGTGCAGGCCTTGCAGGCCCACTTCCGCCAGCTCTGGACGCCTATTCTATGATCACTGGATCTGTCGACAACTTGAGCGAACAATATTGACTCAAAAAAAAAAAAAAACGGTATGGACAGCCATCACAACTTATCAGAGAAAGCCATTCTGTGGTCCTCAGTTGGTGGGCTAGTGGGTCCATTTAGCTTTACTGAAAGGGGACAAGGCTTCAAGGATCTTTAGACCAATCGCCTAGTACAGACGAGTGACGAAATTTATAGCGCACGCTGGCTGAAGTTCTAGGAATATTCTCCCATTATTTCAACTCACATGCTGCATTTGTAGTTCGAAAAAAATGCACAAACGTATTATGACAACA